CCTCTCAAACAAAATGTCCGCCAACCGCGGCGCCAAAATCATCCTCCACTCGTGAGTTCCCTGCAATTCCTCTCTCCACAACCCTCCCCAACCCCTAACCCCGGGCCCCCGGGAGACTCAAAGCCTCGAACGCTCCCGGTCCCAACGCATTCTCTGGCTCCTCGAAGAATTGCGCCTCACCTACGAGATCCAACCGTACAAACGCGACGCCACGCAGCGCGCCCCGGCCGCCCTGAAGCACCTGCACCCGCTCGGCAAAAGCCCCGTGCTCAGCATCGCGCCGCCGCCCGCGTCAGCCCACCAACAACCACAACCCCCGCTAATCCTCGCCGAATCCGCCGCCATCATCGAGTATCTGGTAGATCATTTCCTACCCCCACCGGCTCCGGGTGCGGATCCGCACCCTCCCCCAAAGTTGACCCTCCCGCCGCGCTGGACCGCCGGCCGCGAGAACCAGCCCGGCGGGGAGACGGCGGCGTGGCTGCGGTACCGGTATCTGATGCATTATGCGGAGGGGAGTTTGATGCCGTTGGTTGTGGTACGAATTTTGATGGACGGTTTGTTTTTGCTCCCCTTTTTTTCTTCTTAAGGCAAGGATGGGGGGTCTCGATCCGCTGACAATTTGGTGGCTGGGATGGGGTGGGATGGGTGTGTAGTGGTCCAAACCGCCCCCGCGCCGTTCTTCGTCAAACCCGTGCTCGGGCTCGTGCCCGCCATTGTGAACAGGGAGTATACGCGGCCGAATCTGGAGACGCATTTTGGGTTCTTGGAGGCGCAGTTGGAGAGGATCGCGGGGGTGGGGGCTGCTGCTGCTGCTGCTGCTCCTGCCTACCTGACCGGTACGCGGTTCACCCCAGCAGATATCCTCATGAGTTATCCGTTGGTGATTGCGGAGGAGATCAAGGCAATTAATCCCGACCGGTTCCCGCGGCTGCGGGGGTATGTGAAGGGTTTGAGGGGCATGGAGGGGTATCGGAGGGCTGTGCAGGTTTTGGAAGAGGTCGAGGGGCAGGAGTATAGGCCTTTTTGATGCGGTTCTGTGGGTGCAGGGTAGTTGATAGTTGTTGGGGGTGTCGAGGGCCAGTCGTGGGGTCGAAGTATGCGAAATTGATGGCTGGAGTGCCGAGTACAGTACTATGTTATAGATTTCTTGCTGGGGAGGGGGGGGGGGGAAGTTGTGATCCTCCTGGCAAGGCCGTCTGGGCGCGAAGCTGTAGTAATCGAAGAACATCTCCTCTCGGCTGTACATCCGCCAAGCATAGAAACTCAGTGTCAGTATGTGTTCCCTCTAGCTTGAACTGTCTGTGGAGAAGGACCATATTAATGGTCGCTGGCGGTTGTGGTGGGCCACTCATACTCATGACCTATCTCTCATTCTGTTGAAGATCCCGAATTTAGGGTTAGTCGCCGCAGTCTGCATATACTTCCCTTTTCGCGAACAAGCTGTCAGAGTTCCGGCCTAGAACGAGTAAGCATTGCTGAGTGAGTGTTCCCTATGACTTGCTCCACGGCTGACGTGCTGACTAGTCGCAAGTGCGGGTGTAATGGTTCTTCGGTGGGTGCCAAGATAGGCTGTGAAGCTCTGGTTAGATTGAAACTAGGATCGCTCATTTGGAGGGGAAATACTGGGAATGGCAGGGAACTCTGAGGACTACGCTGGTCGGAAATCGAGCTACAGATTTCATGTCTGAAATCTGTGAAGTTGCTATTCTTAGGTTGTGGCGTAGGATCAAAGAGCTATGACAGGACATGCCTTTCGATCACTCACTAACACCCATCCACCCTCCCTTTATCATTGTAGGCTACTCTACTCAAGCAAAGACTGGTACAGCTGCCACGCAAGCCCGGTCTACCCACACCACACGATCACACATCCACAGCGAAACGCTGCCTGAGACCCTTGTCAACGCGACTGAAAACGATGGGCAACGGAAGCAGCGCCAACGTGACAAACCCCAGCAAGGAGTTCCCCCACCCATAGCCCAAAGCCGCGTACATCGGCGACCCGGCCAGGGGCAGCAAGGCCCCCAGCAACGAGCGCGTCACGGTCACGGCCGCGGTCCTGGAGGCGGCATACCGCGGGTACGAGTCGATGATGTACGTCTGCAGCGGGCCGAAGATGCCCACGATCCCGAACCCGAAGGGAAAGAGCCCGATGATCGGCACGATCCAGTGCGTCTGCGCTTGCACGGACCAGCCATACCAGAAGAAGGAGACCGGCACGCAGATCGCAAAGTAGATGCTCAGGGACAGCCGCATCTCGGGCTCGTAGACGCCGTGGTTGCGCTGCTTGTGCCGCGCGATCGTGCGGTCGCTCAGCAGACCGAAGACGAGCTGGCCCGTGAGGAAGCCCACCCCGATCCCGAGATTGGCTAACCTGCTGATGTCGAGGCTCCAGTGGTATGTACTCTGGAAGACATCGGTGATGGTGGTGAAGAGGAGATAAAGGCATCCGTAGACGACAGCGATGTAGACGGCGATCATCGAGACGATCGGGGATCGAAATAGTAGTTGGAGAGGCATGGACAACCTGCGAGATAAGGGCAGCTTCAACTTGTCACCTTGCGCATCGAAACAGCTCCGCAGATCGGACCGGCCGAGAGCTTCTTGCAGCCTTGCAGTCTTGCGGCGTATGAGGACCGTGGGGTTTGTCTCGCGATTGAAAATCACGGCAAGAGAGGTTAACGTCCCACCCGCTATGACGAGGACCCAGAAGACCTATAGTCTGCTCTTAGATATGGCGCGCGCATGCAAGCAAGAGAGACGAATGTATCGAAATACCTACCCATCGCCATCCGGCTCTTTCAGCAATGAATCCCCCGCAGATGGGCCCGAGGACAGGTCCGAACAATGGACCGGCCTGATAGATCGACATGGCAAGGCCTCGCTCTTCAGCCACGAACAGATCGGAAACGACTCCGCCGCCTGTAGCAAGACATGCTGAGCCACCAATGCCCGTCAAAAGTCGGAAGCCGATCAATGCTCGAATGGAAGGGGCCAGCGCGCATCCGATTTGGAACAGAACAAAACAGGTCGTTGCAATGTTGAGAACGACCGTACGGCCGCACAGCTCGCTCAACGGAGAAAATAGAAGAGGTCCAGCCTATACAATTCTGGTAAGCACTCTCACATGAGCTTAGGAGAGTACAAGAGCACGTACAATATAGCCAAACAGGTAGCCCGTCACGGAAAAAGTCTGTTCGACCGAGGATGTATTCCCAAATTCTTCTCCAGCAAACACTGCAGCTGAGGCAAACACAGAAGATGCGAACGGGCTATCGGAGGGGTATAGGTAAGTTATAGGTCTGGGAGTATGCGGTAAGGTGATGGTGTACCTAACTAGCGTGATCATGCTAATCAAAGCAAGCAAAAACCACTTTCGAGATGCCGGATAGTTCCTATCATACACTCAGCACCTCTGTTCAAAACAGGTGTAGCCATCACCTACCTCGGATTCGAAGGGTCTTGCTGACTTTCCCACCCAACAATTCCTATGCTCAGGTCGGTCTCTGGATACTCCTCTCTGGCTTGACTTAAGGACATTTCAGCACCTAATCCCTGCTTTTCTCGCTTGTCTTCCAGAGACACCACCACATTCTCCTGTTCTGTCATGACGCTGAGATGTCGGGTCTTCTCTAGCACCAATTCAGTGAAAGCAGTGAAACAAAGACGATTAGTTTCCAGACGACACCCACACTTCATCAATCCTGAAATTGTCTGTTTGGGTCCATGGCTCTTCTTATTCTGCAGATAACATCGATCCATGACTCGGAAGGGCAATGATTGGTTTGCATGGGCAATAGAAGGCACTTCCATATTCGGCATGAGATCCGAAGTTTGGGTTAGCGTCTTTCTGCCCTTAGCCTTTGACGCCCTCGGGTCCCGCTGGATAATATCTATAACAATCCGTAACGAACACCGTCAATTCTAAAAAGTGGAGGCACATGATTTTCTCGAACTATAATCCTGAGAAATAGAGACTGAAAGGGTAGAAGCTCTCGTCCCCGTCGAAATCAATATCTTCGTAGCCGGCCGACTGCGTATAGTAGTCAAACTGCTCATATATTTGCTGGTCCACACAGGGTCGTGCCTCCATAGTATTTGCGCTCCCAACTGTGCCTATACCTGGTTCAAGATGCACGGTTTCAGGCTGCGTCGGGAAGGGTTCTTGCGGGACATCTGTGATTCCTCGCATTGTCGCAGTATCCCCCTCACGCAAAAGCTGCGCAGAAACGGGGGTGGATGCAATTCCAAAGTGTCCACTGTTCTGCTGTGGAGCTGCGTTGGCTGCAGGCGGTTGGGTTTGTACAATTTTTTCCCACGGATACCGCAAAGGCCTAGGCTCTTGACCGATTGCTGGGTTCTCAATATGTGCTCGGCTTATTTCTTCTCGATTGGACTGATTGGCAAATGTCCTCGCTACCAAGTCAATCGTCTCTAGATAGGTTGATTCTCCTGCGAGACTAGCTTGGTCACCTGCACTCGCCAGCTCTTGCAATTTTGACCCTTGGGAGAGTGCAGTCGTCAACACCTAGTCAAATTGATCAGCCTCCATGAAGAAATTGCTTCATAGAACATAGCATACCGTCAAGGCGATGTGCGTACGTTGCGAGTGGATACAATAAGGTCGAAGAGTGATGAGCATGGCCCTGGCTATATCCAGCTCGGCCTCAAGATATCGCACCATTTTAGAGGTCTTATCGATAAGAAGAACGTACAGAAGTGTGAGTGCAGATGTCGAGATCATATGTGCCACTCGCCACTGCGATCCAAATAGAAGACCATGGCGGTGCATATCCTGCGCGAGACGGATGATATTATAGCTTGCACGAATCCCGGCCAGTGCATGATTTCGGCCTTCTTGCTGTATGTTGTGACTTTGAAGTAGGTAGTGCATGAACGGTCGGTATAGGTAGATTTGAGTATGAGCAAAGGTCATGCAGAGTTCGTACTCCGCCCTGTAGCTTGTGAGCGTTTTCGTACAGTTGATGGCTTTGCGAACTTCCAATCCCCCTTACCTTCGAGACCAGTGACTGTCCTCATGTTTTGCTAGTATGTCACGAATTGCAAGGTGCTTGGCCCATCTCCGTAGCTCGTCCTCGAATTTGAAAACGGTATCCTTGGTGACAAAGTGCTTCAATAACTCGCTCGCATCCCGATGCTGCATAGTGCTTGGAGGATACAGGCTCCTCACAACTCTGTAAAGAATCTCATGAAGTTTCAGGTAACTCAGATGACTCGGTATCGTTTCTGGGACCTGAACGCTCTGCTTAGCCCCTACACTTTCTTGATCTGGCTGAACACTAACGGCTATAGCCTCGGAATAATCCATCCCTATCTCATCAGCAGGTACAGGCTTTGGGAGGCCGCACATGGAAGCTAAAGTGACCAAAAGTTGCCATATAGCCCAGAAAAGAGATCGTTTGGTCTCGACAACGACCGGACTATCTGTCTTACTGGGACGGTGCAGGCCCATGCGAAAAGCCAAGGAAAGCATATGAGAAACATACGTGTAGCACCGAGATAATCTACATGTGCTGATGAGAAAGATATTCATGAAAAAAATGGCCTGCATGGCAAAAAGATTATCACAAGCTTCGAGGTCAACCATATCGCGGCAGGTTTCGAAGTACTTCAAACTGTTATGGTCAATTTGTGGTCAGTAGATCTGTTTCCGTGGGAGGCAACACAGCCTTCAGCAAGCGAGCCCCCTAATGGCTCCGCGGGGTGATGTTCGTTGTGTTTCTCAAATAGGCAGCCTACCGCCATCAGCGAGTAGATGAGGGGAAAGTGGTTAATCTCTGTCTCTCCGTAGTCTTCTCTATCGGGAGAGTACAACAGCTGAAAGACAGAAGTGAATGTGGGACGATGCAGAGCATTGTAGACTAAGTGCGCATCCAAAGCCTGGTTGACTAGGATCTGTGCCCTTTCGCGCTGTGGGAGAGGCGCAGAAGTCCTCGATAAGCAATTTGGGGCTCCTAGCAGAAACAGCCTGGGAGCCAGTCGCTCTTTCACGCGCAATCTGCTTTCAAAGCCGATGCCTGGGGAGTCTCCGAGTTCTAGCTTCAGTCGTTCTATAAAAGACCGCTCTCCGGAAGACCCATGGTGTCGTGCTTCCAGCCGGCCCTCTTCTCTATCGACTTCATGCATGACTTCCGGCGTTTCTGGCTGACAAGCAGCAAGCTGCGAAACGTCTGCATCCGAGTCATCGACATGGTTCGAGCTCTTCTGTAAGCTCGGCTTTTTGCCTGGTCTGGCGAAGGTTCTGTGGTCCGGGTCGGCGTGTCTTTTCCGATGTGTAACGCAATAGATGCACTCTTTGGTTATTAGTATGTTATACATAGATTGTTTTGCGACGAGCCCTTAGGCTCATTGACGGTTCCCGAGGCTTGAGAAGCTCCTGAAAGAATGAGAGCAATGCTTGCAGGGATTGGTCCCGTCGCATTTGACCTTCATCTGTCGACATAGCTCCACATGCTTTGCGAACACGATCATTGCGGCCCGGCGATTGATCACTTTCCCCTTCAGCCCCATGTTGTAAGTTCAGATCAAATGTATGAAACATCAATACAATATGAAAGTGATTTTACAGCACAGTTGACAATTGAAATGATAGAACTGCGTCGCAAGCTCTGGTAAGTGGACTTGAACTCCGCTGCGGTTTGATTACTTGCCGTTCGGATGGATGGCACATGATTGTATGCCCTTGATTTCAGGCACCGATTCCTTGGCACCACAAAAAAGTGCCTCTCTTCACTCTCTGGGAGTGAGGCGGGCAATGGATTATATCTTTATTGAATAGGTTTCAATTCCAGAACAGCTGTCAATGATGGGGAAAAGTGGAAGAAACTCAGATGAAGGTTGGACAATTGTGACGGGCGCGGAATAGTCTCCTCGGGGACATGTGACTAAATGCGCAAGTATATATCACTGAAGCTTGCAAGAAATTGACCCGGTTGAGGCCACCACCATAGAAAATCTAACTACTCAATAAAAGCCTATGAAACCATCATCAACTCGATAGGTGTCTAGCCTTTATCCTAACCTACCACTTCACATTTTGAACCCAATCCTTCTATTTTGAACAAAATGCTGGGTAATCATATAAGAGGAAGTAAAACCAAGAAATAAATATATCACGCCCAATGCAAAAAGGAGATCATCATGAACGTTCACAACCAAGAATGAATGAAAACAAGCGCTGCCCTGAACTTAGTGACATAGCATTTTAGGCAGCTCTCGAGTTGGCGATGTTCAGGACGAGAATGTCCGTGGCGCCAACCTTAATCAGCTCATCCATGACGGTAGCAATCTTCTTCTTCTCAACCATTGCGCTGACGGCCACCCAGCCATCCTGATCCAAGGCAGTCACCGTGGGGGCGCGCTTGCCTGGAGTGATGCTGGAGGCGGTCGACAATTCCGCGCGGGGGATGTTGTACTGGCACAGAACGTACTTCTGGGCGGCTGTGAGGTAGAAAGCCGTTAGTGGTTAACTCACCAAGACGAAGGGGAAAGACATACTGATAACACCACGAATACGGGAGGCGATCAGGTCAACCAGAGGATTCTGGGTGTTCCGGGACTTGACCAGCACAGAGATGGTCTCAACAACGGTGTCAATGGCCTTGAGGCCAGCAGCCTTCATGGTCTCACCGGATTCTATACAGAAACACGGATCAGCTATTGCATCCTCCAAGCGAGGTGATACTAGCCTGCACGTACCAACCAGATCGACGATACCATCGGCCACACCCAGAGCGCAGGCAGCCTCAACACTGCCACCGACATACTTGATCTTAGTCTTCGGGCTGCCTTCAACCTCAGCCTCGAGCTTGGTGAAAAAGGCCTCGGTAAGGGCAGTGAAGCTGGTAACGACGTTACGGCCCACCAGCTGGCGGGCTTCCGTGATGTTGCCCTTCTCAGGAACCTGAACCTGCAACTTGCAGGCGCCGAAGCCAAGGTCCATCACCTCCTCCACGCCGGAAACCTCACCGCTGGGAAGCTGGGCATCGTGCTCGGCAACCTGGTCGCGACCGGTGATACCGAGATCCACACGCCCTTCGCCCACGAAAGTCGGGATATCAGCGGCAGGAAGGAAAATGAGCGCAATCGGCAAGTTCTTCACCAAGGCGATGTCCAAGCGGGTTTCGCGACGGAACTGGATGTCGGCACCGGCCAGGAGGTCCAAAGTAGCTTGTTGAAGACGACCCTCTGTAAAGGCAAGAACGGTATTAGCTTGAAACTTCTTGTACAGGTGCAACAAGCCAATGCTCGGATCTCATGGAAGGTATCGAGGCTTCTTGCGGCGGAGGGGAGTGAGTGAGTCATGGCGGGCACTTGCTCTTAGGGACGGCGAAGAGTAGTCTTCCTTCGAGGCTGTTTGAAAATAAAAGGTTAACATGATGACAGTTCTAGCGATCAACAGTAATCCTGTTGTTTGGGGTTTCGCGCTTGGATCATGCCGGTTGACCAATTGACACTTACTGGTTGACGAGATCCATTTCGGTCGATGATCGGTGATGCGCGGGGTAAGTTACTCGGGACGTAAAGTGTGAATAGGACACCGGATGGAGAAAGAATTGGTCAAATTGGGGGACAGCAAAAAAGCCCTGGATGAAGCGGATACAATCCGGCAAAATAGTACTCTGACAAGAGTGAAGTTGGCGTGGTGGTGAGGGGAAAGGCAGAGGAGAAAAGCAGAGGAACGGGGCAGCGACTTGGACATCAATGCGGCAGAAAAGACAGACGGAGAGCGCCGGGCGAGCAGGTTCTGCTGCCTGAGGCACAATACCCCTCCTGCTTGTGCCTGATGTAGCAGGCCAGCGATTCATGCCTGACGGGCGAGGCAACACTAGCCCTGAGCCCTCGTCTTTTTCCCAAAGGGGAAATGCAACCCACACAAGCGCGCAATCCCGTTCGATTTTCACCGAGCGGCTTCAACTTCTATCAACCCGGTCCCCCTTCGCCATCTTCACCTCCATCCCGTCAGTCCTTTGCTGCCGTCACGCCCAACCTCAAGATGGATTCCGCCAAGCAGCCTGCTAAGCTCGTCAAGGTCACCCGTGTCCTCGGCCGTACCGGTATGTTGACGATAAACCGCTTCGCTGGCAGCAGTCGCGCTGCCGCAAAAACGCCTCCCTCGCTGTGCGGTCAACGCTGACTGCTCTCGATTTCACAATAGGTTCCCGTGGTGGTGTCACCCAGGTCCGCGTCGAGTTCATGGACGATACCTCCCGCAGCATCATCCGTAACGTCAAGGGCCCTGGTATGCGATTCTCCGTCTGATCAATTCTTCTGTTGTCGTTTTCGCTTGCGCTCGGCATGGCCCACTTTCTCCGACCCTCCGACAAAGAGATATCCCAAAAAGAAAGAGCTTGGAATTGTAAACGGGGAACGCGATCGGAAAATCAGCCAACGAAGACGGGAAAGTCATTCGACACTTGGGGAGGAAATTCGTTCGACGCAGGATCACTCGGGACGAATTTTTGGGATATTCTCGACCGGCGGGAAAGAAGAATTTCGGGTCTTCGCCAGAGTCAATCCGACTATAATTTTACGTCGCACATGTCAAAGGCTAACACGGGTTTTTTTCCCCCGCAATCTACAGTCAAGGTCGACGACATCCTCTGCCTGCTCGAGTCCGAACGCGAGGCCCGCCGTCTCCGTTAAAAATCTCCTCAACTCTCCGAATTTTCTTATCTTCTTCCCTCTCGAGGCTATGTACCCTTGCTTGCGTTGGAAATGATTCTGGGGGTCGGGAAGGCAATAAAAAACATCTCATGGGCTGATGCGGCATCCGGGTTGTGATGATTTGCGTTTGTTTACCATTCTGTGTTCCGATATACCAGGGTTCCATAGAAGAAACAAACGAGACCGAGATCAACCTGAAATACAAAAAGGAAAAAAATTTGAAATCCACCGGACCTTTGAGATAGATACCAGGGACGATATCAGGCGGCCCACGACCTGGAGCAGAAATGGATCAAGCTTTGATACACTACGGTTTCCGCTATATCCTGGAATCCGGCTTGTTCGAGGGTTGATCGTTTCACCTTGTTCACTCTGGGCTCGCGCGAAAACGATTACAGGCATCGGTAAAGCTGCAAATTCAAGGTTCAAAGGCTTGGACGCGATCTCATAGAATTGCTACACGCTTGCTTGTCCAGTAGATCTAGCTCCGGTGGCTATAAGGACGTGCAACCACCGGAAAGCAGCACACGTAAATTTGCTTGCGACGGAGGGGACTTGATAAGGTGCCATAATGACATAATTTGGAGCATTGTCAGGTCTATACATAATGGCCGTCATGCCTTTGTTTTTCAGATATTCCTGCATCAAATGTGATACGCTAACATCAAAAGCAATGTTGCGAGTGGATTAACATCTACAGCTGCTCTGCGCTGCTGATAAGTCGATCCATCAATCCCTCATCGTCCCCGCTCGTAGAATCGCCCACAGCTTTCCCAACTGCCGAAACAAGACCTGCCAATTTCCGGCGACGGATTCTCTCCTCGAGCTCTTTACTCTTCTGACGCGCTTGCTGTAGGAGCGGACCTGGAAGGTTTGCCAATCGCGCCACGTTGAGTCCATAACTGCGATGCGCGACTCCTTCTCGCACCTCATACAGGAATGTGATCTCTTCATCCTGACCGGTCCCCGATTCGGTGAAGTGCATGTGCACGTTTCGTAGTTCTTTGTCCGGGAACGAATGTACCAGTGATGAGAGGTGCTGGTAGTGTGTGATGAATAGGGTGAGGCTTTTGATAGAACGAACCATATAGTCCAGAACCGCTTGGGCGATTGCGACACCGTCATGGGTGGACGTGCCTCGGCCTAGTTCATCTAGTATGACGAGCGAGCGGGGCGTTGCCTGCTTGAGTATATCTGCTGTTTCAGAGAGCTCAACCATGAAGGTGGACTCTCCGGCCAGCATATTATCAAACGCACCCATGCGGGTGAACACAGCGTCTAACATGCCGAGCTTTGCGGACTGCGCTGGCACATAGGAGCCAATCTGGCCCATGATGGCGATAAGGGCGACTTGTCGCACATAGCTAGACTTACCGCCCATGTTGGGACCAGTGACTAGAAGTGCGCGGGTCTTGTCACTCTCCAGATTGATGTCATTTGGCACGTAGCTGTCCAGCAGTAATTGCTCAACCATAGGATGGCGGCCTTGCTCAACATTGATGCATGTGCTATCCGTGTATTGAGGCTTCACATACCCAGGCTGGCCCGCGATAGTAGCTAAGGATATCAAGCAGTCCAGTGTGGCTAATGCTTGTACACAATCACGGAAGGCCTGATATTTGGCGGCTATGTCAGCAAGAAGGGCACGAAAGGCTCCATCGCAAGCCGCAGCCAGCGCCTCTTTATGCTGGTCTCGTTGTCGAATGAGCTGAATAACCTCGGGCGTGTGAAACCTCGACACCTTTTTGGTACCGCTAATCTTCGCCCAGGACGCAGGCACTTTTTTAATGAATGGTGAGCTATTATCAACTTCGATCAGGTAGTCAATGCCCGCAACGGACTTATACTCCACTGATTTTTTCCCGAGCTTTTCACCAGCAACGTTGCGGTGTTCCTGTAAGTCATGCTCGACGCTTGCGATTCCCAGCTTGTGGTCACTGATGTCTTCGGTTTCTTCGGCTTCTCGGAAGAAGGCATACTTGTCATCATTCCGTGCGGCGTGCATATTGATCTTATCCAGAAACGACACAACATCATTCAGAATTGTTGGAAGGGAGGCTATAGCTTCGCCTATCTGAGGGGACTCAAATCCAGCATCCGCAGCGCTCTTGATATCCGCGAACTCCTGCGCAATCATTTGCATGGTTTGGAGCACAGTAAGGAGCTCGGGCCGAGTGCACTGCGATCAGGATCTTAGCATCTATACACAAACACTATATCACCTGGATACGAGATGAAAACTCACCTTCCCATAGTAGATCCTAATGAGGCTCTTCTCCAAGTCACTCTTGATCTTGGCAAATAAGCTTTTAAGTCGCTCGACCATGATAGTTTTTTCCGGGCTTTGCAGCTCTTCAACAGCATTGACCCTCGCTTCAAGAGCCGTCTTATCCAGCAAAGGGCGTCCGACCCACTTACGAAGCAGTCTTTGCCCAAAACGAGTCTGTGTGCGATCAAGAGTCCAGAAGAGACTGCCTTTAGTAGTGTGGTCGGTCTGGTTTTGGTAAACCTCGAGACTCATAAGGGTATTTCCATTGAGAAGCATATGTGATCGCGAAGAGAAATGCTGGAAATATTTGGTCAACTGGAACACATACTCCAAGCCGTACTCTTGCAAATGTGTTATCATGGCGGAGAGGCAGATGGTTATCTGCTCAGGTAAATTTACCACCTTGTGAAGAAGACTACTCGCCTGCACATCGTCTTCAGCACTAGCTGCCTTCATCTTTCCAGCATAAAAACTCGAAACATGACTATGGGACTCGGCGGCGGTTGTTTTCGACTTGGGAGCCCGCTCCACACGAGTCTTATCACCGAATACATTCAACTTGCTGCCCGAGAGATGCTTAACCAGCTTCTCCGTAGCTCTGGAAAGTTCTCCCACAATCAACACTTCACAAGGCGCAATATGAAGCAACCTGGTTTCGATTTCGGTCCTCATAAAACCATCTTCGAAATCATCATAGATTATGTCCCCTGTGGCAGGCTGCACAGCGACAATGCCGACCTGGACCTTCTCATCATTGCCCCATCCCTTCGCATTCGTCTCAGTGATGCAAAGCAGGTATCCCGTTGCTGGGGACGCGCTGCCAGATGCCGCAGGCCCTACCAGACCGTCAACGTCGTCGATATATGTGCCTTTCGTGTACAAACTTGTGAGTTTGCGTTCAAATGGCGCGTTTCGGTTGTCACCCGCCGCTTTCAGCGCAGCCGTTTCGATCTGTCTGACGATGCCAACCTTATGTCCGGCAGCGACCAAGCGTTTGACATGCACATGTAGTCGATGGACCGGTATGCTGGCAGATGCAAATCGATCGAGGTGTGCCTCTGAAGGATCTGAAAGGCAAAAAAAGAGCTCAAGCATTAGTGGCGTCTGCGGTCGCGAGGGATGTGGTACACTCACGCTCATCAAAGCGCAGCTTTCCTGGGATACAGACAATCGACAACTCCTTGGCTGCGATCCTTGCATCCTCGCCGAAGAACCGGAACTTATAACCAACCTCCACTACCAAAACCGCATCTTTATGTTTGTGTTTGATGTCAATAACTTGTCTCTCCATTGGCGTAAGCTTACTGGCCCCCTTCTTGCTAGCAGCTTTGCCTCGAGGTGGGGGGGCGGGCGCCAGATCCTCGTCTTCTTCCCCTTCAGCGGCATCCTCAGTAGACACGACATCAGTCACACCAGTAGCATGCCTGTTGATGCCTATCAAGCAATCTGCGCCGCCCAGCCTGCGCACAAATTTCTGATGCAAATCCTCCAATTCCTTTTGCCTCTGTTTGGCTTCGGTGGGCTCCGATTCCTGATGTCTCTGGGTCCCAGATCCAGTGGCGGGTGAGCTAGCGAATCTAGAAAGATCCGTCCGCTGGCTACTCTGCGACACTGGTATATGCTCTTCAATAACGGAGGAGCCTGTCTTTGAACCGTTTTCCTGGGAGTTGGAGCCGTTCAATTTGCTTCGTTTTGGAGCCGGTGCGACTATATCATCGCCGTCATCGTCTTCATCCTTCTTGTCCCGTGTCAAATCATCCTGGCGGTTTCGCAATTTTTCGGAGGCCGTCGTTTCCTCTGGGCTGGTTTCCGCGAGCTTCGTCTGTCTATCGACGCCGTTGACCGAACCGGGTTGGAGAGGCTGTGACTTCTTGGTGAAGAAGCTGGCGAGTGTCGATTGCTTGCGCTTCATATTCTGGGAAGAGGAAGGTGATGAGGAAGGTAAAGGCATCTTTTGCCGTGTTCTTCGAGAGTCTGTCAACGGGGCTGCAGCCTTTGTGTGTGGTTTGCTGAAGAGCTTGGACAAGCTCAAGCGAAGGTAGATGAGAAACCGCTGTATACCATCAGCTGCAACAAAGTGGCAAGGAACTCAAATCGGCGCAATCAAAAGCTGTGACAACTTGGCAGCCTTCTGCAGTATCGAGTTTGTGTGAGCCTCCTTGTCACAGTTGAAAATCATCATCACATGCGGGTACTGTATTGTATTAACAGCGTCACTAAAAGTCCACTTCGGCGAAGCTAGTGCCGCTTCAGAACTTCGAGAGCTCGACGCGTGGTCAACGCGCTTTCGTGTCTCCGGGTTGAAGATCGCCTATATTTCTGGCTTATGTAATCCACTACAAGCACTGGACGGTGCACGCAATGGGGATTTCTCTAATGACTTGGAGCTACATAGCCTGTAGGTCTTCGAGTATACCTCGGTTGATGGATATCTAATACTATAGCAGTATACGTCTGCGATGCGATACCTGAACAGTCAACGCAGTAATGAAAGACGTCAGACATCAGCCTCCAGGCAGCGACACATTGTCTCTACTGACATATAGGTAATGCATGATTATAGGAACTTCGCATATAAAGCAGTGGGCTATGTGCCCATAGCAGAGATTCGTCCTATCCTCTCCCGTTGAAGTGTGCTTGAGTGCTGTGCTTGGGTGCTGACGACATCGAGAGTGAGCCAGCGACAACATTTTGAGGACGCAGTCGGGCAGGCAGCCATAGCAAGAGTGGAAGATTAACAAGAGCTTCCAGGCAGGTAGAGCCGCTCGAATTCCCCTTCCTCGGCATCTGAGATTGTGCCTTCAGGGGACTCAGGCCGTGCCTTATAATCTGCTCCCGCCTGTGAGTTCAGGGTACTCAACTGAGCCTCTTCGACAGGTAGTCTGCCCAGCGAGACTGATAGAGGATTGTAGTGATACCCTGCGGGACTATCATGACCTCCAAATGGACTCAAACCGGCAGATTGAGCAGTTTGATAGAAGAGCTGTGGCGGGTAACCTATGTCATTTGCTAGATGTTGCTTCATGGCAGGGGAACTCCAGCCCACTCCAGGATCGATGCGGCCGCAGGCATTGAAGAGAGGTTCAATGTTCTCCTTATCCATGGTCTCATCAGCGGTACGTTCTGTGAATGCAGATAGATGAGTAGCGGAGCGGGACGCACACTCGTCCGTGCGGGTTGTGTATTCGCGCAGAAGAAAAATGGGGTGGGAAACGGCAGATGCTGCATATGACAATCCACCACTGATATGCTGGTTCCTCGAGCTTCGCCGGTGCTGTCCTTCCTCGTCACGGTACACTGCGAACTCGTTGCGATCCTTGAGCCCGCTCCTTCTCTTAGGGACAGACTTAGCCTGATCGTCTGCGCAACTCCTCCGATATATCGATACTTGGCCCTGACGTGTTTGCGCAGCACTCTGGGTCGAATGCTCGCCCATACACTCGACACCCTGTCTTTCGGCCTTCTTGTTTCTCTTCTTGTTCGGTCCATGTTGCCGACGGTTAATGTTAGCGTCAAGTTGCGAGAGAACCCTCTTGGGGCGGCTGACTCGTCTTTTGGGTATTGGCGTTTCACCCTTGAGCGGGCTACTATCCTCAACATTGCCAGAGATCACCCGTTGCTTTCGGAGGATTCCCGTTGGAGAGAAGACAAGTTCTGTCGGCTCGACGCAGAGGGAGGTCTTTTCCATCATCCTCAAGATGCTCTCATCCTTCTTTTGGTTACGTCGACGCCTCATCTGTTCTGTAGCAGAGTCGAAGATGTCCATCCCGGGCCACAGGATGCCCTTAAGTCTAGCCATCTCATCGGCCCGCTCTTTGTCCAGAAGGTCGGACACAGGCCAGTCAATGCTCTCACTTTCATCCAGGAAGGGGTCGCTTCTGTATCCGCGATTCATTGTGTTTGTGCCGGTCACCATTCTGTCCTTTCTTGGACTTGTGCAGTACGGCATAACAGAAAAGCCATCGTCGTACGCAATCACATCACCTCTGGGCTCACGTTTCCAAAACTCGTATTCAATATCTCTGGAGTCACTTCCGTGCATTGTGTGAGAGTAGGACTGGCACGTCTGGGCGGAAGGGTCTGTTCGAGTAACATAAGATGCAGAGGTTGATCCGGCGTGTGGGAGTTCCAACGGTTGTTCGATGTAGGTATTAGCGAGGCGAGGGTCTATATAGTCCGGAAATGGGTTATGTATCAGGGGAAGAACAGATAGCGCGACGTCTGGCTTCTCGACCTTGACTTCTGCGTGGGTCGTGGGCTTTGTCGATGTCTTCTTCTTTCGAGCTTCCTTTGAGGACATTCGGTCCGAAAGCAGTCTCCCGAGATTGTTGGTCTTATACCAATGGTCATATTCGTCCAGTAGATCGACTGCTTGTTGCTCCTGATGACTGCGTACCTGAAGCTTGAAATAATGAGAGAGATGGGCTTTTGAAGCGATATGGGTCAGCAAGTGAGATACATCGCTGAACGTGGGACGCTTGGGGCAGATGTTGCATAAAAGTGCAGCTGCATCCATGGTTAAGGGATCTGGAAGGATAAGAATTCGAACTTGAACAAAGCTATCAAGGGAAGCAACAAAGGGTTAAATCCAAAGTGGTGCTTGCATGGATAGGAACCGATCAATGTGCTAGAATAGAGACCAATATAGAAAGACTGGACCTGACAGAATAGCATGGGAAGGTCAAGACCACTGACGTGAGGACGGCAGATAGCACAGGCACACCTGAGGACCTTCCTTCCCTGCGATGACACTCGTGCCTACCTAACATTGTTTTTGTTGTTGTCATCTTAGCCGACGACAAGTGAAGAAGGAACCAACCGCCATGGACCATAGAGGGTGGTTAGTAGTAAGGTTGTCAGTCGCCTTGGAAGGCCGCTCTAGCTGTTGGGAGGGTTTACTAGGGACATAGACTGACACCTCCGAGACCGGAATGAGGCATATTGTTGACGCAAGGATATCGTAATGCATAGAATGGCACATCCTAACATATTGACTATCAATATAGATCTAGTACTTGTACTCCGTAATTCGGATACATATGTGCCACTGCGTCTTAACGGCCGCTTAACAGGCCATTGTAGAGGGGTGAAGCGGAAATAAGTCGCAGTGCCTGTCTTTCTTCTCCTGCCTTGTATCCCATTATCCATTGAGAAAAGAAAAAATGGGTTATTAGATTGCAGGAGGTAGTACTACGAAAGGTATTGATGGATGAAGCCAGAACGTCACAAACAAGGAGAGCTGATTACGGGGCGAGGCATCTCGTCGTTATACTCTTCGGCATACAACTAGTCAACTCGTCAGCATGGTGTCCCTATAAAAAAGGGACTTGTCTCAATGAGTCACTTACTAGACTGGATCTACTTCCTGCAGACCATCGAATTTAAGAAGGCTCAGGCCGGCGACACCGAAACAAGTATGGAAGACATCGACCATACTACCGGGTCTATCACCAATACCTCCAGCATCCGAGTCCTATGGCGGGTTAGTCAATACCCAGCGAGACATAGAAGGGGATATTACCTGGCAGCGCAAAATGAAAGCAGCAAGCTTGCTGCCGTCGATCCAATGCAGTCTGTCTATCATTGCCAGACTAGCACCAACCCACCAGCTATAGCAAGCATCTGGCAGCTTTTCAGGACGCCCATTAAGACCTCCATTATCCACCTGTCTCTCGCTCAGCCAGCCGCCCAGGCGGTCCCTGTTCACCAAGTCTAACCGCCCGGCAATCGCTAGAGCGCCAACACAAGTAAAAACTTGGCCAGCATGGGTCTCGGTTCCTGGTCGTATACCATAGCCACCGTCCAGGTTTTCACACTTTTTTACGTACTCCACCGCTTTGGAGACGTCAACCAAGTGAAGAAGTCCCAGAAGCGACAAGGCATTGAATGCACCGTACAGAAAACGGGTGTCTTGTTCGCCCCACTCATCTCCCTGGAATGCACCAGATTCCTGATCCTGTAATCCTGCAATGACTGCGCATGTTTAGTAAAGCTTTGTAGATGAAGACCCAGGTGAAGTCATATCGTACAAGAGCCAATTTTCTCCTTGCCTCCTAGGCCACGCTTCTCTAATTCGTCCACGGCATCTAGTGTGACGAGAAGCTGCACGGCTGACACTGTGTACAGCATGTGTGCATCATGGCCTGGAGCAGCTCCAAATCCCCCATTCTCTCGTTGGCATGAGAGGACGAAATCAATGGTCTCATGACGAGGCAATACCTCTGGAGATCCCATGAGATGCAGAGCTGTCAACCCCCAATAAACCCCATTGAGGCGAAGGTGCTCCGTGAGCCAATATTCCAGCTCGTCCCTCCTCTAGCATCATCTGTCAACCGCCTTCCCTACCGTGTGGGGAGCTATGGTTGGAATAAGAGCAACGCACGCTATCCAGTTTTTTGACGTATTCGACGTGTTTCTGAATGCAAAGTTGCTGGTTGAGCGGATGGCCAACGGCCTTCCCCGGATCTGAAATCAAGGACATGTGTGAGAAACGGGGGAGATACAGCAACCGGGGCCTGGCAAAGACACCCTTCTAGAGTTGAAGTAAGAGTTAGTATATGAGATCAGCTTAATTGCAAGACCCTCGATCAAATCGACTGAGGGGCAAGAAAAGCTTTTCCGGGATGTGAACAGGACTTGATGTCGTAACTATAATGCCCGCCACAGCGGAGATCAAATGAAACAGTTTAAGGGACAACTTGAGATGCAACCTGGACGTCTGGTGACTTGAGGATAGGTGAACACGGGAAGACAAGATTCCAGTGCACGCGATCCTCGAAGCAGACAAGTGAACTTGCGGGGACTTGGCGAAGGAAAAACTTTTGGCAGGGATGTGTGCCGGAAGTCGGAAACCGAGAGGGCTTTGTGTCACGTGGGATGATGCCTACTGAAAGCAGCCGCTGGAGCATCCTTAGTAAGATGGCGGGGCTGATGTTTCAGCCCGGCGTCTACTAAAGGTACTAGTCTAAGGCGGGATCGTCATGGACCGTGGACAGCGGTGTGTGACCATGTGAAACCCCTGAGAGCCAAATGGCAGTTGCCCCTGGGTCCCTGCTCCTCCCAGTGGCTCTCGCCTGCATTACTACTCTGTCTCATTGATCTCTTCATGCGTAGGCAAAGACAAGCATTAGAGCAACCACTTAACTGCTATCCTCCGTCACCTCTATCAACTACAACTCGCTGGGAAGTGTTATAGTTGATTGACATACATACATTTTGTACCTCTCAAACTATCTGCGTATAAGTGTATCTCCTGTACTCTAGTACATTGGTTGCGGTATATATGCCTTGATGGTGCTGCCTTGCTGCTATCATTAGTATGACAAATAGTTATTTGCAGCCATTGATCAAGAGGTGCTGTATGGTCTAAGTGGAGTTGACCTACGGAATATTCTACTCGTGTAGTATCTAGTGAATTCTCCAATTGCTCGGTAACCTAGATAAGGTAGAAGTACGGATACATCGATACTACACCGTAGTGGTCCTTCTTACTCGTACTCATGTACTATCTTCGCATGGGTGCACAGCCGCAGGCGGCTCCCACGTGTATCGTACTGTACAGGATGTAGACACTTGGTGTAGGGACAGACTGAGTCTTGTACTTATTTGCAAATGGTGAGGGCATCCGCAACACACAGGCGAGATCACGCATCCCCACTTACGTGTAGGTGGTTCTGTGGAGTGCTAATGTCAGAGTAATCAATGCTTAGCGCAATAATGATCACAGTAAATTGAGAGCTTGCAATCCATCTTCAAGAAGCGTTTTATTTCCAGTAATTGTCCTGGAAATTATGTTTCTTCCATTGTTGCGATTGAATCGGATGCATAATGGGTAGTGACTTGGTACCTGCAACAAGCGGGGCAGGATAGGACCGTTTCTCCCATGGTTCGCTTGCTGGTTGCATGCCTTCTCTATGTATCGCTGATTTCCCAACACCCCACCAGTTGTATCATAGTGTATGACTTGAACCATGGTAACGAGTTCTTAGAACAAAGAATAGAAGAGAAATTATTGAGACAAATAGTTGTGGTGGGATGGCCATAGGGTTCACTGAGCAAACGCAGAGACCAGTTGAACAACCTAAGATGAGCAATGGTATACAATGAAGTGGATCATGCAGCATCAGGACTGAGAAGTATATTTGGAAGTTTTAACCTAGCTAGGTCGGACAGTTCCGTACGATAGGTGCTATGATTCTAAATGTAAGTAGAATATTGTAGTGTGCACTGCGCTCGTCAAAGATATAGAGTGCTTCTTAGGAGGGAAGGCCATGCGTTTTCAGGTACAGGCTCCAGGCTCCAGGCTTAAGTTTTTCTTTGCTTTTCCCTTTTTCTTTTTTTTTGTTCATCTGGGACTTTCCGAGGTGAACAAAGTCGTCGACGAGGCCTGGGGTTATTTGATTTGCCTCCCGGGTCAGTGGAAACCCTGTTAAGCAGCAGCTGGTGGTTGGTTAGGTTTAATGGGGTGTCTCTGCATCATCCCGCTGGTCCAAGCCACCGTGGACCATACTAGTACCTTCCAGTCCCAATCATGGCAGCCACTCACCGTTCCCGCCCCGATCTTTCGGTGTGAAATTCAGTCCCCATTCGGTGGGATGGAGGCTGTAGCCCCGTACAACGGTGTACACAGTAGGTAACGGAGTACTACTTCCCCTATACTGTTAATGCACGCGCACACACATTGTTCAATTCCAATACTATCAGACCGATAGACCGTGCACCTAAGAG